ACCTCTACCATCTCCTCTCAGGTCAGTTGTTTTCGAAACCCGAGGTGGTCAAGCAGAAATATGAGACAGGCCCTTGGTGAGTGTGGGAGACACAGGGTAGGGGCGACAACAGCTGGACAACCCTGACTTTGTGCCCTGCCCTCATAGCAGCAAGGCTGATGTGGTGGACAGCGAGACTGTGGTACGGGCCCGTGGGTTGCCCTGGCAGTCATCAGACCAGGACGTGGCTCGCTTCTTCAGAGGGCTCAACATTGCTAGGTGGGTGCAGCAGATGGGTGGGCCCAAGAAGGCAGACCTGCCCAGAAGACACTAACAGCACTGACTCCACAGGGGTGGTGTAGCACTCTGCCTCAATGCCCAGGGCCGAAGAAATGGTGAAGCCCTCATCCGCTTCGTGGACAGCGAGCAGCGGGACCTAGCACTGCAGAGACACAAGCACCACATGGGCGTCCGCTATATTGAGGTGGGGCTTTGGGCTGGGAAGGGAGCAGGGCAAAGCTGAGCCAGGCTGGAGAGCCATGGGCTGTCCCCTCTGAACCCACAGGTGTATAAAGCAACAGGGGAGGAGTTTGTAAAGATAGCAGGAGGTGAGTGTGCCCCCAGCAGGGCCTGGCTCCCCGGGTTCTTGACGCATATCCCACTTTCTTCCCACCCTTTGCCTCTCTGCTCCTGTGTTTGCGGGTGTTTAGAAGAGCATGAAGTCAGCAGGTGACTCCCACACTAACCCCCAGGTCCCTCACCTAGGCACATCACTAGAAGTGGCTCGTTTCCTGTCACGGGAAGACCAAGTAATCTTGCGGCTGCGGGGACTGCCCTTCTCAGCCGGGCCAACGGATGTGCTGGGCTTCCTGGGGCCAGACTGCCCAGTGACTGGGGGTGCCGAGGGGCTGCTCTTTGTGCGCCACCCTGACGGCCGGCCAACTGGCGATGCCTTTGCCCTCTTTGCCTGTGAAGAGCTGGCACAGGCTGCGCTGCGCAGGCACAAGGGCATGCTGGGTAAGCGATATATAGAACTTTTCCGGAGCACTGCGGCCGAGGTGCAGCAGGTGAGCAGCCAGAGTTCCCCATCCCTGTTGTGCTGCTACTCCAGGGCACCCTGCCCGACGTGGCATGACCAGTCTTCTGCTGCCTTCCTTACCAGGTCCTGAACCGGCCTTCCTTACCAGGCCCTGACCCGCTATGCATCCAGTCCCCTTCTTCCCACACTGACTGCTCCGCTGCTGCCTATTCCCTTCCCGCTGGCAGCTGGAACTGGGAGGGACTGTGTGCGCCTTCGTGGTCTGCCCTACACAGCCACCATTGAAGACATCCTAAGCTTTCTGGGGGAGGCAGCAGCTGACATCCGGCCCCATGGTGTACACATGGTGCTGAACCAGCAGGTGAGGCTGCTGCTGGCAGAGGCATACATGCCAATGTTAAGTTGTTGAGAAAGTTGATGCATTTTGGCACAGAAAAATAATGTCATGACTTGCCCAACAACTAATAGTTCAGAAGGGCTGTGTTAGGGGTGAGGTGCTCTTGCACACAGCAGGCTGCTTAAACGATGGTGTGCGCAGGGCCGGCCCTCGGGCGATGCTTTCATCCAGATGACATCAGCAGAGCGGGCTCTAGCTGCTGCCCAACGTTGTCATAAGAAGGTGATGAAGGAACGCTACGTGGAGGTGGTCCCCTGTTCCACAGAGGAGATGAGCCGTGTGCTGATGGGGGGCACCTTGGGCCGCAGTGGCATGTCCCCTCCACCCTGCAAGCTGCCCTGTGAGTGCCCCAGGAGCTGGGGAAGGAGACAGGTGGGGGGGGGGGGCAGGATGTTATAAAACCCCACTTTGTATATTGGGGATTCCTTTCTGGCTCTTACCCAAGGCAGTACTGGGCTCCATGTATATGCAATTCCTTTGTCTCTAGGCCTCTCCCCACCTACCTATGCAACCTTCCAGGCCACCCCAGCCCTCATACCCACGGAGACAGCAGCTCTATATCCCTCTTCTGCACTGCTCCCAGCCACCAGGGTGCCTGCTGCCCCTACTCCTGTTGCCTACTACCCAGGGCCAGCCACTCAACTGTACATGAACTACACAGCCTACTATCCCAGGTACTCTCCTGCTTTTGGGGAGGGTCGTGATCCCATTTCTGGGTCAGATAACCTCAACGCTGTTGGAGATGACTTTATTCTGAAATGACATGGGAACAGTAGGTGTGTGCTAGCTGACGCCATCTACAAAACAGATTGGAGGTGACTCTGTAGAGGCAGGCATTTGAGAAAGAACTAAACTAAGCACAAGGGAGAGGTACAATGTGGTCTATCCATAGATGGAACGCACTACTAAACCCATCTCTTTCACCCTAGCCCCCCGGTCTCCCCCACCACTTTGGGCTACCTCACCACGCCCCCTGCGGCCCTGGCTTCTGCTCCCACGTCAGTGTTGTCCCAACCAGGAGCCCTGGTCCGCATGCAGGGTGTCCCATACACAGCTGGTGTGAAAGATCTGCTCAATGTCTTCCAGGCCTACCAGGTGAGTTGTGTGACTGGAGGACCTGAGTGCCTGGCTAAGCTGAGAGCTCTCCGTCCTAAATCTGTGTCCCTTCTGCAGCTAGCTCCTGATGACTACACCAGTCTGATGCCTGTTGGTGACCCACCTCGCGCTGTGTTACAGGCCCCCAAGGAGTGGGTGTGTTTGTAGATGAGGAGGCAGGAGGTAAGAGATAGCCAATTTCTTCAACTAATGTGCCTCTCTGCATCCAGAGGACCAGTGCCCCCAACCTGCTGTCTTCTTTCTGGCTTGTAAAAGCTCTCAGAAGGCACCTAGGAGCCCGTCTCAGTTCCATCCCCTACTTACGCTTCCACCTCTGTACCCAAAAAAATGATGGCTAGACCCTGTGAGCAGGGCTAGGGGTGGACTAAGGCTACGTTGCCCCTGATTGTCTGACCCAGGCCTCCTGAGTGGTACCTGGAGAGCCTCTGTTCTGTCCTGGCAATGGATGCTGTGGGGCTGACAGGTCTTTCTTTTTTAAAAAACTAAGCTCTAGTACCTTCAATGTACGACTCCTGGAGAATCAAGGGTCCATCCGAGCCTGAGTGCTCTACCTCTTCTTATCCTTCTGGTGGAGGTTCTGAAGAGAGAGCTGGCCCCCACCCTCAGGATGCTTGAACCTCAGAGACCGCACTGTGCCAGGGTCCCTTCTAAGGATGCTAGCCGTCCACCAACTGGGTACAAGGAATATCATGGCCAAACCACAAGCTATTTTGATGGACTATGCTGCAATACCCGCAGAAGACACTAGGGGACAGAAGGCCCACACACAAAAACTCAGGCTTGAATTCTAAAGGGACTTTCTGCAACTTTCTATGTATGCCTTGGGAAGGCCAGTTGTCCCTAACCCAGCAGACACCATGGATGTCCTTTGCTCCCATTAAAGGGTGCAGAACTGAAGCCTCAAAAGGAATTTGGAACTATATCCTGTCCTCTATAAAATAAAAGTTCCTGACCAAGTGGACTTATAAAAAAGCCTTGGTGCCCTTAGCTTTGGACCCAGAGTGAGGGGCTCCATGCCAGCCCTGGGCGGAGGAAAACTCAGACAGATTTCAAGGAAACTGTTGACCTGTCACCGTTTATTATTTCAGCACTGTAACTGAGGAGCCTGAACTGCTGGCTCTTCTTCCCTTTGTATTTGTATAAGGAGCACTGTACTCCTAGAAAAGGTTTTGAAATACAAAATGTACAAGAAAACAATCCCAAGTACTGTAAACATAACTGAGAACCAGTTCCTTTACTAAACATCCATTTTATAAAATACAAGGTTTCGACTTGGGCCCATGTGAGCCTTCAAGATGACCATCTGTCCTGAATACCAAAAAAGAGCTTCACAGTCAGGCCCAGCAGAGATGTGGTGAAAGCTACAGGTCCTGGGTGGTGGGGTGCACCCTGGAGCAGCGGCACCACACTGAACGTGAAGACATCTGTTACTTTTAAAGCTGTTTTCAGCCATGTTTCTGTGTATCTCCAGTAAGCAGAAGGCTGCTCATTCCATTCCTCAACTCAAGATGGAGCATAGGCTGGAGAGGAAAGGGGTACGTGCTAGCACAGGCCCAGTTGCTCAGTGCTGCTATTAGAAGTTCATTTGCATAGTCCATGAATGTGTGCTTCTAACACCACTATGTTGAACAAAAACTTTAACTCTTTATCTACAAAGCCAAAAATATTGACTGTTACATCAAAGCTTTTACAAAGCTGATATAAAACTGCTTACATAGTATACAAAGCTCTATTTTAAAAGTTAACTTTTATTTTAAATAGGAAAGCATTTCTAGTGCTACAGGCATCAAGGTATTTAAAAGGCATCAAAATTTGGTGCATAGCAACTCTGGATCATAGAGGCTTTTTATTCTTGAGGGTAGCAAAGCAACCCCCAAATGTCCTGCAAGGGGAACTCTTACAAGAATCCCAAGGGAGGCAGTTACACCAGGGATGAGAGGGTACGGGGAAGTCTGGCCCTGTCTCTGAAACTTCACCCAAGAGACCAATCCCCTGCCCCTCCAAAGGAAGCTGTGGGGCTTCTAACAACAGGTCCTGAAGCGTAAACTCTATCTACTCACTTTCAAAGAAAATCTGAAAACACGCAGCTCTAAAAGGAGCCACCATGATTTGCTGAAGGACATTTTTTTTAAGGGAGAAATCTTAAAATATTATGATTTTTTTTAATAAGAGGGGGAGGGGAGGACTGCATCCTCAGCCTGGGTCAACAGCTTCTATTCTGTAAGCTAGAAGTGGTAGGCAGCCAGGCCTATTTGCCCAGCCCTGACTTGGACTCAGGAGCAAGCATCTAAGGTCTGTAGTCTCCAGGAATAACGGCATCAAGCTTTCAAACACCCCAGCACACTGCCTCACATGTAGGCACTCAAAAATCTGTTCCTGAATAAATGATGAAAGTACATTATTTCACTTGAAAACATACTTACAAACATCAGGGGTTTTGAAATAGGCCCAGAACAGGCAACAAATCCCATGACAGGGAGGATGAAAGACAGGGTTTGAAAAAAGTGCCCAACTGGGGCACCTGCTTTGGTAGACAGCAAGCTGGGATTCCT